TTGGTTTGAACTATGAAGTCCCTAAAATTGCCTCCTGTTCAGTTTTCACTGAAGATAGCAGTTATCACTGGATGAAAAATGTGAATAAACCATTTGCTTACCCTACAAACCAGCAAGGAAAAGAGTTTTGGGATGTTTATACAACGTGAGAGAGCTTTAGCAAGCAGGAATCCAGTGTTGCAGTCAATATCTCTAGTGAGTGATAGTTTGGTCATTGTCAGTCTTGGGAACCCTATCAACATTTATTGTATCTTTGACCACATCCTTTCAATGTTTTCCTGTATTTATAAATAACAGATAAAAAACAAATCTCATATTGTCAGCAAACCTTTCCTGAGGAGCTTGTTCAGTGGAGCCAGGGAAGAATGAGGGTTCAGAGCTGCTGTTTCCTTCCCCTTCTCAGCAGTGTGCTGGGTATGATCTTACTCCCTCCTCCCAGTTTTGCTTTGTAAGAGGGGAGAAGATTGCCTCGAGGAATTAATTGGGATTTCAGCCCCATGCAGGGCTGGAACCTCATTTACTCTAGAAGGCTCTACCAGTTCCACAGGTTTAGCTCACCCATGTGTGTAGGATTTGTCTTAAGTTCAATTTAAACTCTTCCCCAGTTATTCTGAGCTAACTTCAGGAAAAAAAAAGTCCTGGAAGAGCAGCATGGACATGTGGCATTTTACAACTCAGTTGTGATGAAAATACCTGCTTAGGTGGGCAAGTTTTAAAGAGAGACAATTGCTAGAGAAGACACATGGCAGCAATGAGCTATGGTTGTGAATAATTTACCAGTGTTACAACACACATCCCTTCCTGCTGCCCTCCCCATACTCCACCACGTTACTGCAGTCATCCTGCTTATCCAGAACTGCTCTCCTCCTCCTCCTCCTCCTCCCAGCACCTCCTGGGGTGTGGTTTGGGGTTTGTTTTGTGGGTTGTTTTTTCTTCTTTTGTTTTCTGAAATAGCTTTGGCCCTTTTTGGAGTTTTTTTGCAGGTTGCCCAGCTGCAAGTGCAGGAGCCAGGCTGCCAGGACTGAGTAGCTGTCTCTCTCATCTTCCCAGGCAATCAGCCCCACCTTGCAGGGGCTCCAGGTTTTCTGTGTGCTTGGCAGTGGTGGCACTGGGAAGGCAGAGGGCAGACAGGCTGAACTGGCTCCTTCATCTCCAGGCGAAGCAGCAAAAACCAGAGTTACCTGGAGGTGGCCGAGTGGGCGTGGTGGCTGATGTTAAACTCTTTCTTGGCCCCGGGGAGGTGATTGTGTTTATCCTCCATGTAGGTCAGCACACACAAAACTCAGCTTATGGAGACACGACCCCCTGTCCCCGGCCTCCCTCACGCTGCCCCAGCTTACCCGCCTCAGCACTCGCAAAACCTCCCTCAGGACCCTCCTGACGCTGCCCACCGAGCACAGCACCAGGGTGCCCACCACCACGTCCACGGCGCCGTCGGGGATCTCCTGCAGGTCCTCTCCAGAGGCAACCACCAAACCTTCAAGCTTCAGGTGCTGGTTTTCCGAGAGGCTCTTGAGGAGGAACTTTCTGAAGTGGGGGTTGGGGTCGGAGCACGTCAGCCGACAGCCCGGGGGGTAGAACTGGAAGTTGGTGCCCGTGCCTGTGCCAATTTCCAGCAGGGTGAGCTGGCCTGAAGGGCCTGTGAATTTTCTCAGGGTGCTGAACAGCTCTTGTTTCTGCTTGTAGACCTTGTGGTTGTAGACAGGAGCCACCTTCGCCATGACGTAGGGGAAGACTCTCTTGCAGAAGGAGCCCCACAAGCCCAGGCAGGCAAGGATGTGGATGGGCAGGAGGAGGAGGTGGATGCATCGCTGGAGGAGGGGGACGAGCAGCATCCCCGGGGGCGACCGGTGGTGGCCCTGCAGCTGCTGCCAGCTCTGAACCGGCTCTGTCCGGGTGTCTGTCTGTCCGGGTGTCTGTCGGGCTGTCCGTCCGCCTGTCTGTCTTGTCCGGCCGGCTGCCAAGCGCCCTCTTAAAGCGGCAGCGCCGCGTTTGTGCAGCACTGCTGGGAACACCTGAGCGGGGAGCGGAGGGGCAGGGGAAGAAACAGGAACAGAACCGAGGCCAGAGCTGGAGCTGGAGCCCGAGCAGCCAGAGCCAGCCCTGCCAGGGGGTCTGACCTCACACTGCGCCTGCCTGGATTGAGTCTGAGCGCTTGGATCCTGACCACTTTAAGCCTCTTATCTGGGAGAAACAACCCTCCCAGTCCTCGGGAGTATCCTGCTGTATCCGTTCTGAGTGCTGTATCACTGCAGCTCTGACCGGCTGCACGGTGTGACCGTCCCTCTCCCCTCTCCCCCCAGCCTGCACTTCAGGTAGCACCCATCTCCTGGGTGACAGAGCTTGCTTGGACCACCACGCACTTGTGTCACAACAGCATCACACCCCTCATACAGGAGAAGCCCCTCGGGCTACAGCCATCTCTCCAGCTATCCACATGCAACAGCAACAACCTGTTTAAATGACACACTCCTTGCAGCCACTAAACTTTGTTCTGCTGCAGCTGGCGTGCGAGGTGCCCAAGAGAGCTCCAAGAGAGCTCCAAGATATGGTCACCTGGGGGTTGCCACAGGAGCAGAACTCCCGTGTGCACCAAGAGCTGTCCCTGTCCACAGCACCTACAAACTGAGGAGACACCCCAGCATCACTGCACTGAAGGTGGAGGGAGAAGCGAGGGCTGAAATGATGAAATAAGGAAAAAGCAGTATCCTTATCAAGCAATTTTCATTTTTTTCCTGTACTAGGCAGCTGTGTGCTCCTTAAAGAGACAGCGCAGGGCCAGGTAGCTACTGTTCAGCTCCAGAATTATGGAATTATCTTAGTTCTGTTGTCTGTGTTCTGGGTGGTTTTGTTTTCTTTAAACCCAAGGAGGGTTTTTATGTTTTTTTTTTTTTTTTATCAGCTTTACTCTTCTGGTCACAAGCAGGCAAAACCATTTGCTGGAGTTGTAATATTTACCTGCTTTACAAGGCAGCATTATTTCAGAAATACTTTCAGCCTCTGAGTATGCTCATTTTCTGAGGATTCCCTTTTGACCTGGATCAGGATGATGGACTGGATGGCTCTGCCAGCTGCTCAGAAGGGTGGATGGGGATGAAGTCTATCTCTGTGCAGGGATCGTGGAGAACTTTCTGCCTCTTTCCTGGGATAGAGCCACTCTCAAGGCTGTGCCACAACCTCTTAGGTCCATGAGGAACCTTATTTTCATCTGCTATCACTGATCAACCTCCGAGGGCGTTGACCTATTTACTCCTTTAAGTTCCTTGCTTAAAGATACCTTATACAAAGTGTAATAACACCCTTGGGGCCCCAGAATGTCCTTGAATATTTCTGGTGCGTGGCCCGCCGCAGAGGGACCCGTATGCCCACCGTTCCCAGCAGCTCCAGAGTGTCCTAGTTGGGAGCCCGGCTGTGCCACTGCGTTGCCACCCAGGGTCAGCTCTTGCTGCCTGCCCGGTCCCTTTGGGTGCAGCTCCAGCTGCTTCAGGCACCATTAGCTAGGTAGAGAAGATATTTTTTTTTCCTTACGTGATTTAATTTTCATATTTGGACACTTAAACACTCTATATTTGGGATGTGCTGTCCCGTTTCTCAGCAGTTTGTTATCAGTGGATTTTTTTCCTGTATTTCAAGTGGGTTTATTTCCACTTAGTGGAAATATTTCATTTCTGGTGGAAATTTAAGCCTCAGAAACAAACTATGGAAGGTCCAGTATGGACTGAAAATTTCTCGGCATCTATCACTTTCGGTAGCAGCGTATTTAATGTGTGTGACTGCTTTTGGGTGGTTTTGGGTTGAAATATCTACATTTTTTAGGTTGCATCTGCCCTTGTGTTACACAGGGGTAGTCCCCTAAAAGTCAGCGATGTAAAGCGAGGGCAGGATTAGTCCCCGTGTCATCTCTAAAGGAAGACAAATGAGTACTCCTGTGCCCTCTTGCCTTGTCTGCTCAGCACACAGCTCCTAAAGCTCTGCTCAGAGGACAAAGATTTAAAATTCTAGGAAGAGGACATTTCTGCAAGGTGGATAGTTATTTTTATTTTTTCTAAACCAGCAACTTAACACAGTGCTTTCAGTTGTGCTTTCAGCAACGCAGGCACAGTCTCATCGAGAACAAGAACTACATAACAATAAAAATTGATCCTAAAATGGCACTCAAACTATAGGTTTAACATTAGAGGCATAAATTCTATGTATAAAAGAGGAGTTGTAATGGAAGAGGGGTAATTTGGGGCAATTGTCTTACTTATTACATTCTTACTATCTCTTACTGTACATTAATTTCTCTTACCTATGTTACTGGGAAAACTGGAAATCTGCATATATTTGACAGGGTTGTAGCCAAGGATGCTGTTCTGCCAGAAACTTCCACCTCTTTTGTGAGCCCCTGGGCCTTGAGGAGCTCCACAGCTCCCCGAGAAACCTGCCAGGTCCCCAGGAAGGACCTTCAAGAAGAAACCTAACAGCCCAGGTTGTAATTAGATGGAAAAAACCAATACTGGAATACTCGGAACTACTGGACAAAAAGCGTCACTGCACGTGTGACATAAAAGTCATCAGAGCACTTTTAAAACTTTTTTTGTAAAATTTTATTATTACCAGATAGTCCAGGGATGACAGGACAGTCACGGAGCTCTTTTTGGTGATGCAATCTGTGGTGTGCGTGGCCATTCGAAGTTTTAGCTGCAACTGTAACAAGAAAAAGACAGAGGAAAAATATAAGAAGCGTTTGGCTGATAAAAAGTTTTGGGTTTGCTGCCTCGGTGCCGCCTGTCCCTGCTTACGCCCCGTGTGTGCGTTACAGGACTCGGGCGCCGTTTTCTGAAGTCCGTGCTGCATGGCCGGTAAATGAGGCTGGGCTGGAGCGCTGGGAGCCAGGACCGGTTCTCC